TGTTCCTGTGTATGTGTTGATATTAAAAGATATATTCCTCAAAAATGGTTATAATATCGCTTTAGATATAATTACACTTTTTTTTCATTTGCTGAACAAAGTGGTTACTCATAAAACTGTTCCATATGTAAAAATTATCTGGCAAATAGCAATCAGTTACTGTAGCAGTATAGCGCTATTATTTTATTTGAATGTTTTTAGTAAAAGGTGCAACTAAAATAACTCGATATTGGGACATATATCTTCATATAACACTTTCATTCAATCACTGCAGCAAAATTCTTTAAAGTTATATTATTGGGTGTTTATTTAACTGAATCACAGGTATTTTTATGAAACGTGTGTACAGCTGATTGCTAGTTTCTGGTTGTGTTTATGAGAACATACACATAGCAACCGTTAAACGCAGCAAAACAGAAAACACAATTCAAATGGTAAATCATGTGTGGTGATTATTTATCTCAGATGACACATTCTATTGACCAAGTGTATCAGCTGTTCCCTTTTCTTGAGTCTCTCAAGGGATACTGTGGACTTTCTCCACAGTACTAATACTGATGTTTATTGAAATCTTGCATGCATTATTCAACAAGAGTAAATACATGTCTGTTTGACTGCACATGTTTATTGCATATCCCTTGTTGTCAAAAGCAGCTTATTTCTTTGATAATAGCACTGAACACAAGTAAAACCTATTGATGTTATAGTCCATAATATGCAAATGACCCGAAGTCGGATGCCTTGTCAACATGACCAAAGAAGTTAACTCCTTCAGAAAGCTGACAAGGTAATGATGTCATCTATCAGGGCTACAGATAAGGGGCGTACAGGCATAATGTACGCCTCAAAATCAATTAAGTACGACACAATATAAGATTTCAAGCGTATCGTGTACACACATAAATACCTTCGTACGTCTAACATTTAATTTCCGTGCGTATCGTGGAAATGGAAATCTATTTCGGATAAATACTTGTTGTCAAGAGTTTCTTTGCGAAACACGATTTGACACATAAGGAAACCCAGACAGTAGGAATCCCTTGCGTTGCCATGCAACGATATGCGTCACTATTTTTCGATTGGCTGAAAACTACACTGTCATATTTATATCCAGTCGGACCTGACATTTCGCGCATCACACAGTCGCTCAGTTATTTCTCACGCGTCTTCAAATACAAATACATGGTTGGAAATAGTGATCGATCAAACGTCCAGACAAACCACATCAACTCGCTCACACAAAAACATGTCAGTACTCCTTCAAAATTCTCAGTACACCTCCATTTGCAATATGATGTGTAAGTACACTCACACCCCCAAAAGTTATCTGGAGCCCTGATCTATGGGATGACTCCACGCCCTGCTACATAAAGGGCAACTGTAAACCTCTCTGAATAAATGACAGTTGCAAATCTCTCTGCATAAATAACAACTGGGAACCACTCTGAAATGACAAATTTGCATCTCTCTGACTAAATGATAACTTTGAATCTCTTTGACTAAATGACAACTTTTTAAATCCCTCTGAATTAATGACAACATTAAATCTCTGAAACTGAATAAATGAAAACTTAAATCTCTCTAACTAATGACAATCTCTCTCACTAAATGACAACTGTAAAATCTGTCTGCATAAATGACAACTGCAAATCCCTCTTAATAGGTGACATGTCTGTCTGAAAACAAGTAGATTGTAACTGTTGAAGTCTCTGACTTAACAGCACCTTTTAACCTCTCTGATCACATTAGTGTTGGGAATTGGTTAAAAACTCATTATTGATGATTGGTTCATCACAACCGATCAATCATTGAAAATAATTGGTTAGCATAATTTATCAAATTTTCCTGGTTTTGTTTGTTAAGGCCTGACCAATTATATTTCTTGTTTTACATATTTTTGTCCTCAGAAAACCTAAAGGCAGGGGGAAAAAAATAAAAAATAAAAATCACCAGGTAAAGTAATATTCCTTTTAAATAATAAAGTATTTTATTTTTGGCAATTTATGAAGTGTATATGAGGCAAAAAATGATCCAAACCATTTTTGGCCAATAAAAACATGAGGATTATATTTTTTGGGCGGGGAAAATTAATTTTTATTTTTTTTCTTATTCTTGAAAAAATACGACCAGTGGATCCGTAAAACAAGAAATAAAATTCGTCTGGCCTAATGGACAAAAAAAAAAAAAAAAAAAAGTTCTTTGATGTATTTTTGCAAACTGCACAAAATGCATTTGCAAATTTCACATTTTAAAAGGATGACTAGTATGTTAGGAACATAAATTTCCTGGAGTCTTAAAGGTCACATGCAACGTAAAACACAACTTTGCAGATTCTGATACCTTTCGGTATGGACTTACCGAAACAAATCATCAAAAATGCAAATTCAACTTATAAAGTTGAAAAATAACGCGATGAAAAAACCCGTGTGAAATCGTAGTTCAAACGATTCACTAATTTTCCCCCAGAGCTTGGGGAATTCAAGTGGTTTCAACAGCTTGGCTGCGCTCATAGCACGTGCGCAGTGAAATAGGTTCGCGCAGCTTGGAAGCGGGTTGTCCGGTGAATACTCAGTGAAGGCTTTGGTGTGAGCTATTTTTCTAATGTTTTGTTGATATTTCACAGGCGCGAGCTTTTTATATGTTATGACAGTAGATTTACTGTTTACATAATTTCATTTGTCTATTTCACCACACGTTCTTCTTACCGAGTAACTTTCTCAGTTCGATACTTAAAAGCAATGTCATTATTTAGCGTTGACAGAATTTCTAACTGTGATAAAGATATGTCGTCACAGACAAACCTCAATGTCTGTTTTATTGACACCAATGTGTCTGCCTGCCTGTCTGCTAATGACCATATTCAATACACAACTGAGATCACTGACCACATGCAATTTGAACTTAACACCAATCAGGCTATACACCATAAACAAAATGCATTGATTTATGGCCCGAGTTCGGTCTCTGTCACATTATGTAATTACACAGACAGGCAGGTGTGATACTTGTACACATGACATGTTATGATGTCTGTTGATTGTAAAATGTTATACACAAAAAATGAGCATTTATTTACAAAACCCAACATCTCTATATATACACACACACAATGAGCCGTGAGGAGCATCTGCAAATGAACCAGCCGTAACACTTGAGTGCACACCCACCCGCTCTGACTGGGTTCGGTATCCCGGCTGCTTCATTTCTTGGGAAGTAAACTCAAGTACACAATATTGCACTTTTGATTTGCGATTGTACACTTATAACTTTGTTTATATGTTTTTTCATAACCAGCAATGTATATTATATGTCATGAATAAGTGATAATTGTGTTTAAATTATGTTTGATTTTTGGGTTGCATGTGACCTTTAAGATAAATTCAATCATGACTTGGAACGAGCTTGTAGTGCTTATGAAATGTAACAGACAAAACCAACCTTGTGAAAAATATTGTTAATGCAAACAAGTGTTCCAAAATTGTTTGTGTTCGATTATGAGAAAACATGATTGATTGCTTGGTCGTTTAGGCACTGCGACCAATCTTTGATTATTACAAATAATCGGGCCACCACTAGATCACAAGAGAACAATCTGACCCATAAATACATCACATTTTCAGATATTAAACAGGACAATATACTTCTAAATTATTTTTATACTGCCATGCATATGATTTTATCTAAAATAATATGTCATGTGACAAGATCAAAGATTCGAATACATTTTTAAAGAGTTTTTCATTCTTTAGCATTAAACACTCAGCAAAGTATGTCTTAACCATTATATACATCACACTTCAGGGTTCCTTATGCTGTATCTCAGCTGACTGCAGGTGTATTCTGCCACAACAATCACCTGCCCAGGCTTACTACCATTTGTCATTAACTTAGAGCTTACTGCCTTCAGTTTAAAAGGCTTTAGTTTTTAAAGCGCATGTTAAATATCCAAATCCTCCTCCTCCTCCTCCTCACCATCAACAACATCATCATCAAGACAGACAACGTCACATTGGCGGTTACTGTCAGATGGTGATACAATATTTCACAGCACTGGACTTTGTGTGATTCACAATGTGGATTTACCTGAGGGAGGTAGTACTATATGGTATACAACTTGTGTATTACAATATATGAACTGTTTCAGTATAGATGCTAACACAGTTATGAAGGAATTGATATTATTATTATTGACTTCTGGGTTCATTTCTGAAGATGCAGCTTAATGACTGGATTGATGAAGCCAGCTCCAAGTACACACCTGGGTTTGATTAATTTATCTGAAAACTATTTCACCACAACTGCAAACAACACCCATATGTCTGTTCTTCATGCCATGAAGCAGCCCCACTGTCAGTATAAAACATCCAATGTGATACAACACAGTACTCAAAAAACTAGCTTTGTTACTTATATTCCAAATGTTTGCATACACAAAAGTCAAAAGCATTCTCGTAATGCAGTCAACAAGACTTCATTGTAAACTAGATGTACTGGCCAGAAATAAGGTTAAGAGGATGAATAAGTTTGCATGAAATTCCTGACCCATAAATAGTTTTCATTGTTTAAAAGGTAAAATCAGGACCTTTTCTTTTTACAGGCAGTCGTCATTCCACAAAAAATAACACCATCATAATATATGCCACCAAGGACAATATTATTTTTCATTAGGCCCAAAGTCACTTTAAATTATAGAGGCCTTTGAACATACATCAATTATTTATCACCATATAAACTAAAGAGAATAACATTGACGCCATTTGAATATAAAATAAGTTCAACTTCTATTCTTTCATGCTCTGCATATGTAAGGATTACGTGCCTATAGATGCATCTACCGTAGACTTAGCTTAAATTGGGATCAAAAACAGAAAACCCATTATGGGCCCCCTGACGGCTACAGTACAGGTGCTATGCCTCGCTGGGCGGACGAGTCGAGAATCACACATTCATGATAATCAATGGAGTCTTCAGTCGAATGACAACTGTTGCATAAGACCCACCTGAGATGTGCACGTTGAGCTGCAAGTAGACCCGGCGATGTCACCCACTGCTGTTGCCACAAACACTACGATGGCTAATAGCCTTGGCATGCCCATCAAAGATCAGTCACTTCTCAGTGTGACCACTTGCTCATCATATCTACGAAATGTCAGGGGGGAACAGTTCCCGAATTTAATCGCAAACATGTCAGTCACGTCTGAAGCTCGGCCTTGTCAGTCTCTCTATACACATTTCAGAAAATCAACATGTTTCAGTATCTCCTCCCCAGTTCAATCTAGCCATCGTCACCCATTGAGGGTTCGTGCACACTGCGACAACATGCGGGTTTGTTTTCAATCTCACCTAGAGTTATCTCCCATTCAATACAGGTGGGTATCGAGGACAGCCGTGAACATTATGTGTGGTTCAACACGATAATTGTTGATAGATACGGAAATTGTCGGAAAGGGGCGAGGTAGGCCGAGAGGGTGCAACGGAACAAGACAAACGTGCATCGATGCAGATTGTGTGCAAATAATGACACCGATTATGCTAACGGGTTTGTAGGTCTGTTTTATTCAGAGACATTGGTAGGCCTACCCGTCAGGGAATCGGAGAGTGACGGTAAGCAATCCAGCAATTCCAACAGCAGAGTGAGTGAGTGAGTTTAGTTTTACGCCACTTTTAGCAATATTTCAGCAAAATCATGACGGGGGACACCACAAATGAGCTTCTCACATTGTACCCATGTGGGGAATCGAACCCGGAACTTTGGCGTGACGAGCGATCGCTTTAACCACTTGTCTACCCCACTCACCGCCCCTCTAACAGAGAGCTACAATGTAGCTTCATACAAGTTTGGTTAGGTTCATGAATGCTTGTAAACGGGGGCATTTTCGTATGCAGTACGTGCAAGAAGTATTGTAGAGTTACTGTATTAAGCAACGGCGCAATGCGAAAGTGAAATTTTCTGGTTGTGTTGCATCGCGATAAGTATCACTGTCAAATAAACAGCAAGTAAATCACTTGCTCTGAGAAAGGATTTGTGGAATGGGTGGGGCTGCACAACTTATTTGAAAACTAAGGCTGAGATGTATTGAATTCCTATCATCCATCCAAGGGCCTCCGAACTTACGATAGTCCTAGCTTTATACCACGCTCAATAAGAAGTTCCATATTGTTATTGTCACTGTTTTGTCACCTGGTGCGGGAGTGGTCGACGGGTCGAAAACTGGATGTTTTCAAGTGTAAAAATAACATTATTAATTCACACTACCCTACGTGTGTGGCAGTTTTAGCTTTGGTAGGTTATTTTAATACTTGTGCAGGGGCGGATACAGCTTTTTTGAGAAAGGGGGTGCACACTATTGAGAAAAGGAGGGGTGCACACTTCATTTTCATCCGAGTTTCAATGGTCATTTAATAAACCTTCAGGGCCAAAAAAAGGAGGGGTGTGTGTGGGGGTTGGGGGTTGCGCACCCCTGCAGCCCAGTCTAAGTGCAAGCAATGGTTGGCTGTGCACAATGTACCTGAGTGCAATCGGTGAAAAACTTGCCATCTCAAGGAGACAAACATGACTGGGTCTGAAGACATCGGATAAAACGTGGGATAGACATATTAACAACTGCAGAAGAGATAAGTATAGATCTTTAAAAGGTGAGAGAAAAAGATCGAAAGTTTTAAGTGGTCATAAACACGCACCCAGATAATATGCTCTACAACATAGAATCGTTACATACGGAGTCTAGAGCCTTAGACTTGGATGCATGCTTCATGAAGGACAACCACATTAGGAAGAGACAGTATTTCCCAAACTTAACAATGGGAGGAAATAAACGTAACGTATGACCAATGTACGTATCATTTGTTTCGCAGGTTAATAAATAAAAGAGCACATGGTTGACTGTGAACAGTATGTTCTGTAAATTTGTATAGCTATCACTGTCAAATATTTATAACGCGTGAAATAGGTGTAATTGTCGTTCATTGATGACGCAGCCTTAAACTCATGTATGACCAGATTTAGATATATCTTTTCTTTCATATTCACATAAATGATCGATTATACTGGCAAACTGATTATTACCATATTGACAGAAATTAACATTTATTCAAATGGATTGGTAATATAACGGCATTGTATTATCAGCAATGGCTGGCTATATATAGTGACGTTATGAGGTAATTGGTAACATATGGCGCGGAGATCCATATTTCATCTGACAATTCAAGTTTCCTGTGTAGGCTGAGTACTCGTCACTACCGAAGTCAGCCTAATATTTACAGACAGTATTGTGAGATAAGTATTTGATATGAAGTAACGATGTAGGTATTTCATTCGACTAAAATGCTCAATCTGCTGGTACACTCCCCGACACATTTATGTCTATGGGAAGGGGGTGGGGGTATATTTTAAACCATTTCTTGCATAAGTAAATTGTTGTACAGGTGCATTATAAGCAAATATGATTGTTTTCAGGACATGATCCATACGAATATGTTTCATTCAACACACAAATAATCCAAACCCCGACATCGCCCCCAAAGGGGTAAGGGGTACCTATATCTTCCACTTTCTTGTTGCAACAGAGATTGGAAAGTCACAACCATGAATAAAAGCTTCTGATTGCCCAGTTACAATTATCTAAGCAGTATAAGTCCAATATTTTGTGACTACCTCAATAGTACCGAGTGAACTGACCTATTTTTACTTTTAGCATCTGTTCCAGTTTGTTTTCCTTTTTGTGTGTACCACATGTTCCCGTTCTTTTCCTTTTATATGTGACGGATACCTGTGGTGGGGCAGAATGTGTTCGCGTTGTTACAAACACATGTTCACCATGTCTATTTCACAGTACTTCATATGTAAGCAGAACTATGCAGTAGCCATTGGTGTTACCTGAGGTTACATATGGTCAATGAAGATATTTTATCGCTCTGTTTAACGCATTGTGATGTGTAAATGTAAATCATATGTTGTATCACAGATACACTGTTAAAGCAATTACATGCAAATATACTATATTTTATGTTTGCATTGTATGAATTCAACACACCTCTTTCTAAGGAGTGAAAGAGTGATCATTGTTTTAGGCCGCACAGGCACTCTCGTAGCTGTTCTCGGCTGTTGTTCACACAGAAATAATGGTTCTATATTTTATTGAGTAAAAAGAAGATAAGTGTCCCGTTATTTTGTTGGTGAAATGTCACACACCTAAATCCTAATCACTTCATTTAATCAAGGTAAAATTTGTATAATGTTTGCACCACTTTAAGCTGAGCAACATGTATTCATGATATTGACAGGATTTTATGGAATGAACAGAAAATGCAGATCCCACATAATTATATCTAGGGTCGATATTGACATGATTTTATGGAATGTGGAAAGGCTACCATAATGCTTTTAATTACTACCCACGTGTGTTGGCGTACGTGCATCTGCACATCAATGTACGTTGTATGTGCAATGGCGTGTGTGATCCGTTATCTGGCATTACGTTCCCCAATTATCCATGGGGTGGTGGCAATAGCTAAAGGAGATATCTGACAGTGTGCAAAGTGTTAATTCAACGATACATGTCCGTTTCAAGACCTCCAGATAAGCTGCGTATATTTGCTTAAAATACGCAAACTACATTTGAAAACAAGCATAACTTATTTCGGTTTGAGTTACTGGCACACATATACGCTGGAAGACATTGAACAACTGAAAATTTGAGCATAAGAACATATTTATTGAGGTCATAGCTTTTGGTTACATACATGGAAATGTCTACAAATACGGTCGTAGCATACCTGAAAAAAGTGCTTGTTCATACGGCAATATACGATGTGCATATGTTAGGAAGAGTTAGGAAGTATCGGGAAACATACGAAAATCCGGTCATAGCATGTATTTCCTACTGTATTTACGTTGTTTTAGCGGTGTATAAGCCGGCGTTTGGTCCCGTGAACACGATTCACGGAATTGCTGTGATGCCATGAGAAAATGCCAAAGAAGTTAATGCCAAGTTATTCAAAACGTTATCAGATACGATGTCAAGTGTAAAGGCAAGATAGACATAGGTAGAGTTCATAGAATGAGTGCCAATAGATCGGACAGACAACGAGCTGTTGTAAAACTTGGCAAAGTTTGAGCAGAACAGCAGTAAGGATGTCAGGGACATCACTTTCAAGGCCAGTGAACAATCCCCACAGGAATTTGTACAGATGAGTCGAGAACTAATCCCAGCCCAGCACAGAGACGGAGAGCCAAAGCCACACTACAGTGCTGTAAGCGACGTGATCTCGGACGCCAACAGTGACATCAACACAGAACATCGACCCCACGACTACACAGAGACATGATGGTAAACCTGTGTTATATTTAAATGTGGCATTAAATCTAAACTCCTTAATCCAGACTTTATTACGAAAATACCAGCTGGGGCATTTTTTTATTTCACGGAAACCAAGGCATCTGCCATGGATGTAATAAACATTCCGGGCAAAGTTGTCTACCTGAACAACAGGGCGTACATCTACCTACAGACGTACATCTAGGTGTCGATATTTACACTTCGCCACAATATTTGTCAATATGTTGAAATACGTTAAATTAAATCTGACATATAGATCTTGTGCATTTTCTCCAAGGCCTTTCTGGATACAACTGACAAGCTATATCGCGGATATCTTTACACACCAGCTGTAGCCGGTGTCTATTGTATCTAACCAAGAACAATGCAAGTAACTGGAGCATGAATCGGAAAATATTTCTGCAATATCAGATTACTGGAGATTTCAATGCAAGGACCAAAATGAAATAGATAAGTTTATTAGTAACAATAATCACATCGATGCGGAATTTACAGGAGGCGGTAGCGTAACCCAGTGGTTAAAGCGTTTGCTCGTCACGACGAAGACCAGGGTTCGATTCCCCACATGGGTACAATGTGTGAAGCCCATTTCTGGTGTTCCCCACCGTGATATTGCTGGTATATTGATAAAAGTGGCGTAAACCCATACTCACTCGCTGGACAACGGCATACCAGTTGACAGATCCTCAGTAGATGCAGAGACAAATGACTAAAGATTCAGGCAGAGGGAATTCCTTCACACGTTGTACCCACACGTTGTTGGGAATGGAACCCGCATATAAAGCATGCGACTTGATGGATAACAGCATCTTGTTTATTGCATAGGGCGTCGTTTCGGTGTAGATTTTTACACCGTTATCAACTTAAAAGTGATTTTCACCTTGTAGAATTTAAATAATACAATACATAGGAAGTGTATATGCCCACCTTGTGTCCTCACCATCAACAAAGAATACATTTAAAGCACATAAAGAAAAATTGCCGTGATAATTTTCTTTCAAC